ATAATTTTATTGATTTTGTTTTTTTAGATTGGTATAGTTAAATCAATACGTTTAACTAGAACAGTAACTCTTAAAGAGTTTCAATTAAATAGTCATTATGGATTTACTGTTCTTGCAATATCAACTAATAATAATATTCTTGTTTTTTGTGAATCAAAAATAATATTTATAGGAAATACATCTATTCAATAACTTAATACAAATTAAATACTTAGTCTATCAATATAATGAATTAAACTCTATTTGATGAGTATCTAAATTATGTGTAATATTATGTTAGTGATATATTCTTATTTCTTGTTAATTTTGTTTTTTTTTTCTTATACTTTATATGCACAAATATTTATTATATGAGAAAATAATGATATAACACTTTGTTTTGTTTTTTGACAATTGTCTAATGTTTTTCATTAAGAAATTCATTGAATTAGTTAAAAAACAAAACTTTCATTTGTGTTTATACTAAACAAAAATATACTTAAAAAATGAATAAATAAATATGTTAAACTTGTTATTATTCTTCAAATATTTAGTCTGTTAAATAATCTTCAATAAAACATAATTTATGTTCAAAGTCAATTTAAATACATGAATATAAGAATAATTTTTTTTTGTTTATTTTTTATATTGATTAGTATAACTGATTTATTTAGAAAGCAAACATTATATCAGAAACTGCTTTGACATGTTAATTCTGTAATTGAAATTTTTATTGACTAATGGAAATGAAATCTGAATGTTTTTTTTTTGTATGTTTCTAAGTTTTCAGTTCGAACTGATCAATGAGTAAAAGAAAACAAAAATGTAGCTACATTTCTAATAAGACTTACGTTAGCCTACTAATAGCTGAATCGAAGGTAAATATATTAAACAATTATCATCTTAAATCATTCAAACTAATATATTTAAAGGGCTAGGGCCGATAAGGCTATTTTTCTGCCCCCAACAAAATTGACTTTTTTTTATCGATTCACAGTCCGACATGATGCCTGATGATATTCCAGGGGTCAGATTTTGAAAAACTGACCAAAAGGTTTTTGGGATCTGGGGTTCCCCACAGGGATCTCTGGGAAACTTTTTATCCTTGGTTTCGTTGAAATGTATGTTTGTTGATAGAGTCCAATGTGCTGATTTAGAATAGCAGTATATGAAATCCTCAAAGGCTTTTAAAAGGCGAGAAGCGCAATCCTTTTGCAAGTACTTCTTAAGCTCAAGATTCAGTTTTCAGGCTATGTATCTTCTCTAAAGATAAATCTAACATCATGAAAAACTATTAGTAATAACTAAATCAAGGTTGTTTACTCGAATAAGAAGTATAAAAGTT